GTCCAATCAGCTGGGAGGCGGAGTAGGTCAACATCGACGAGCCAGCCAAGCCAGGGGAAGCTAGCACAGAGCTAGCCGCTAACAGCAGACCCACAGCTCCGAAAAGGATATCCAAAAGGCAGTGCGATGTAAACCACAGCATAGCACAGGAAAAAATCCAGCAAAAGATGACAAACTAGAACAATCCAGATGACACAGGAGGTTGACAGAAGTAGCAAGGTAAGCGCAACAATAATAGTTGCTAGTTCTTCAAGCAAAGTCCGAGCCGCCGTGCTGGAGTTGTATGTTGACAGCAATAGTCCCAAATTCCTGTTAGGGAGTGTTAATTAAGCTGTCTGTTATAAGTACTGAATGAGAAATTACTGAACAAAAATAAGTCCAGATAAATGTCCACGAATATAGCAACAGTATAATGACTTTTTAGCGCGGAGAAGTGGCGAACATGTAGCGCCAGAGTCCTCTCCCTCTCAATATCTTTGAGACGTCTTCTTACCATAGTTTTCTGGTAGAATTCCTGAAAATTCTGGCTCAGTAAGAAGCAGATTACCTCACCCACACCTGAATGAGGCCATCCCTGGTCCCACAACTGTTCAGAATTTGAAAAAAAGGGTTCGGATAATGATCTGGGTCGAGGAGGGAAATAACTCCAAACTAAGCCTTTCCATCGGATCTGCCCTAGTTCTTCCTCAGCTGGAACCATCCAAGACTTGTCTTTTACATCCACACGCTTCAGTAGTCCAACAGCCTTAGTTTCACAGAGTCATCTATTTTTATAGGGCGATTGCTGGGTAACACCCCCGAAACATCATGCCACCATTCAATCCCACCTTTTAGGTTGGATTTGTTGCAGTATTTTCATGCATGTCTATGGGAGATGATTACCTCATACTCATACATATTAAAATCTGGGTGTAACCTTATTCTGCCCGGTTCTTGTCCGGACTTGTCTGATTCAGAGCCCTATAAAGAGAGAGTTGCGACACTCCCATAGACTCCCATAGAAAGAATGGAATGCAGAAGTCACGTGGGTCATGCAGCGGCAAAAAGTTCCAAACAGCAGCGGGTTCAGCATTGAACGTAGTTCATTCTTTTTGTTTTTCCGGTAAGTTGATGAAAATACGACACTTTTTTGCCGTTGTGAAGCGTTATCTGACTGTTCTATACCATAATTTATCAACATTAATACTTCATGTCGCCAGTTTTAGTTAATGAAACATGTTAAATTGCTAGTTGTGTTTTAACTGCAGCTGCTCTGCAACATGACGGTTTAAACGGGTCTATTTCTAATTCAACGTTGTAAAATATCTATTACTGCTTAAATTTTGAAAGGTGGTCTTTTTTAAATTTATGGTAATTCCAGTTACTGAACTCAACTAGAAAATATTTGGCCTTTTTTCCTGAGAGATTCATTCAACCTTTATTTCTACAGGTAAATCCCATTGAGCCTCGAGGACTCATTTACAAGAGAGACCTGATTTAACAAAGAATGATGACAACATGACAACAAGACTGATGTAATTTAGTTAAAGTTATAGATCATTTGTCAAAGACCGCAACATAAATTGTGACATTATAATTAAAGGAAAAACGTGATTTTGGAGATGAGTCAATTTTTTTTCATGTTTTCCAGGTAAACCACAGGAGAATGACTTCATGAACTGAATGTTGCATTCAAAGTATCACAAAGGCACAAGATCTCATTTTATGTCTTCCAAAACAATAACAGCTTAATCAAGATGTTTGAATAAAATTACTTTAACACCATAACCTTCACAAAGTTGGTATTTACTGCAGGACTGTTAAATTACATTTGATTTATATTATTAGTTTAGTGTCTGTTAATCATGGGTCAAGTTGAGATGAGACTCTCTTTCAAGACTGAACAAGAAATAAGAATTATTACAAGAATATCAGCATCAATAAACTGTAGAACAGTAACAAAACACTTATTAAACTGTCACAGGTACATTGAGATGGAGCTGGAAGTTCTTCTTCATGCCAGTTGTCTTCATCTGATCTTTTGTAAAAATATGTCAATTTATTTTCCATTAACATTTTTCTTCACAGGACTGAGTTAATTTTCTTGTCTGTGAGTTTCTTCTGTCCTGCTTATGTATTTTTTTGTGTTCTAATTGTTCCTCAGGTTGTTCATCTCTGTTCCCTGACTGCCTGTTGATCCATCCTCCTGGTCCTGTTGATCCTGGATCATCAGATCCTGACATGTCCCCATCCTCTGAGGACACATTTTCATCTGTCCCTCATCTCACTCGCCTCATTTCTGTTTCTTCCTCAGTCTCTGAAATTACAACGTCACTGTTAGAATGAAGATTATTGTTCAATAAAAATATGACATGAATTATTTAACACTGTTTGTACCAAAGTTTAATTTAGAACAACATGTGTGATCACTGGTCAGATCACTGGTCAGGTCACTGGTCAGGTCACTGGTCAATAGATCAACATGCAGTGGAAGTTCTGCTGTTCTTCTCATCTGGTTCTGGTCCATGAACAAATGGTTGAACCTACTTCAGTCTCACACGTCCTCACTGTGTCTCTGTCTCACACGTCCTCACTGTGTCTCTGTCTCACACGTCCTCACTGTGTCTCTGTGAACTGTCCTCTCTCTAAATGTGCCTGTAGAGTGACATTAGTTTATTTTCTTGCACATTTCTTTGACAGTTAAAAATTTTGAGTCCTGATTGAAAATATTTGTGCAGATTAAATTTACAGCTCTCACTTTGTGATGATGATGATGATGATGATGATGATGATGGTGCTCCTGCTGACTTGAGATGATGTCATTAATAAACAGTATAAATGTCAGTAAAAGTACTTTATTAAAGCTTGCTTTACATTTTACATATTTTATAAAAAATTGTTTGGAAATTTATTTTTGCACAATTAACACTTATTTTGTCATCTGTTATGATTTTAACTAGAAAGTTTCATTTAAATTAACATTTTAATCAATGAATTACAATTGATCCAATAGTTGTCAGGCTACAATCAACTCAGTTATCAGGTACTTGGTTGCCATAACAAAAATGACAAATACAACAATTATATTCAGTCTCTCTTGTAAATGAGTCCTCGTGGCTCAATGGGACGAACCTGTTTAAATAAAGGTTGAATTAATATCCTTTATAGAAATCAAGAATTCATCCAGATGATCTAAGGTAAGCTGGAGCAGATCTGAAATGCTGCATGGAGGACAAGGTGGAGCATTCTCATGCAGAGAACATCAGAAACAGCTTAATAACAGGAGTTACTCTTACATGGTTACATGGACATGGCTATATTGATCATTGTATTGCATAGACTTTTTTTTCTAACAAATATGTGTTTGCAGTCTCGTTTCCTTCTAAAATTTAATGATAAATGTATCAGCTGCTTCTAAAAACGCTTTGATAAAATGCATAGTCTGTGAAATAATCAGTAATCAGTTAAGTAATCAGTTCGTTACTGCTCAATAATAACTGAAAGACGTCAGGTAAAGTAAGAAAAGTCGATTTTTGTGTTCTGTTGCACCAGCAGCCGCTCAAACTGACTGACAGCGATGAACTGTTTGGAACTATTGGGAGCTGCATGAACCACGTGACCGCGTATCGGCGAGTTCAAAGAGTGTCGCAACTCTCTCTTTACAGGGCTCTGGTCTAATTCAACTTTTGAGTTGTTTTTCTCTTTGTTTACCTTATAAGGGTCTATGTTTTGCTTGGAGTTGCTTTAACCTTTCTACTATGTTTGGGTCCGTAGTGACCCATTTTAAATTTTAAATCATGATACTGTCTTTTAAATATTTTTTTTGCATCAAGGCTTTTTGACTTTGTCTGGAACCTTTATTTAAATAAAAATTTTTTTTTTTCACTAAATTTAATTTTTATATTTTATAGAACAACACGCACTTGCCGCGCTGGGGTCATTTGTGACCCAGTTATGGTATAAGACTATCAACCAATAATCAGTGTCAAAACTGAAATCATAAACACACTGTGACCTCACTAACTTTGTCATACATATGTTAGGGCCTTCTGTTTTTACCTGTTTGTCTACTTCACTGACCAAAACATCCCCATTTATCCGTACTACTTTTATTGATAAGTCCCTCATACTCTGCTCCCAAAAACTGAAAAAGTTCATCCAGCTGTAGATGCAGAGACATGTTGAGGCATGCTCATGTAGAGATAAGCCTACCTGGATAGCCATGCCCATCTTGATAGGCAGACCTAGATAGACACACCCACCTGGGTGTGTCTCTACATGGGCATGTAGAGACATGTAGAAACAGACACTCCATTTTACCTAGAGCTTGGCTGCATACCAAAATGAAGAGAAGATTCACAGTACAAGAAGCTCTAGATCACATCCTTGCTGAAAATGATGCAGAGGACACACCTAGTGACACAGATGAGCCAGTTTCTGAGGAGGACGATGCTATTGAATATGAATCAGAGTACACAGATTCGTCGGATGAGGAGGGCACAGGTGCTGAAGCTGCTCCTGTAACTGAAACCTATAAATCCAAAAAGGGTAACATCACTTGGAGTGCGATTCCTCCTGTTTCACATGGCAGGGAAGCTGCTGAAAATGTTATGAAGATGACCCCTGGGATTACAAGGTTTGCTGTGACACGAGTAAGTGACATCAAGACATGCTTTGATTTGTTTATGCCATTGCCACTAAAGAAAGTCATCATTGCTATGACAAACCTCGAAGGGAAAAAAGTTCACGGTGACACTTGGAGGGACATTGATGAGGAGTACCTGGATGCTTTTATTGGTGTTCTTCTTCTCGCTGGCGTGTACAGATCCAGCAATGAGGCCCTTACTAGTCTCTGGGATGTGTCCACAGGCAGGAGTATTTTCCGCGCAACAATGTCACTTCAGACCTTTCAAATGATCTCAAGAGTCCTCAGATTTGACAACAGAGATACTAGAGCACGGTCTGACAAGCTTGCTCCCATCAAAGACGTCTGGGATAGATGGGTGAAGCTCCTTCCACTGATGTTCAACCCAGGACCAGAGGTGACAGTGGATGAGCGTCTTCTCCCTTTCCGTGGAAAATGCCCCTTCCGGCAATACATGCCCAGTAAGCCAGGCAAATATGGCATAAAAATCTGGGCAGCCTGTGATGCGAAAACCAGCTATGCCTGGAATCTACAGATTTACATAGGCAAACTTGCAGCTGGCATCCCTGAGAAGAATCAAGGAAAACGGGTAATCCTTGATATGACTACTGGACTGCGGGGTCACAATATCACGTGTGACAATTTCTTCACCAGCTATTATCTTGGACAAGAACCTCTCAAGAGGAAACTTACCATGGTGGGCACAATAAGAAAAAATAAACCTGAGCTGCCCCTTGAAATTTTGCAGGTGAAAGACAGGGCTCCACTGTCTTCAAAATTTGCTTTTACAGAAACCACCAGTGTTGTTTCATACTGTCCCAAAAAGAACCGGAGTGTAGTACTTATGTCCACTCTTCACAAAGATGCAGCTGTGTCAACAAGAAGTGACAAAAAGCCTGAAATCATCTTGGACTACAATAAAAACAAAGGAGGAGTGGACACCCTGGACAAGCTGACTGCCACCTACACTTGCCAGCGAATGACCAGGAGATGGCCAATGGTTGTATTTTACAACATCCTAGATGTGTCTGCATACAATGCATTTGTCTTGTGGACCCAGACTGACTTGGGGTGGAACGCCAAAAAAAAACACAAGCGGAGATTGTTCCTTCAGGAGCTAGGAAATTTGTTGATCAAGCCATACATTGAGAGAAGGGAACGGATACCCCGAGACCCAGCCACTGCGAACGTTGTCAGACAGCTCCGGAGCACCACTCCAACCACATCATCAGCTGCACAAAGTGCATCAGTGACAACACGCCCTTCAGGCAGCCGGGCTTCAACATCGACCACACCCACAACTCCACCTGCTTCAAAACGAAAGAGGTGTCAGGTGTGCCCAAGCAATAAAGACCGGAAAACAAACACATTGTGCCTTGACTGCAGAAAATACATATGCAAAGAACATACGAAAACTGCCACTTTTTGCAACACATGCATCTGAACACAACGCAAGTTCATACGCAAGTTCATACGCATGCATGAAAGACAGAAAGAAACTAGAAAGAGCATGTTTTTAACTAGAAAAGTATTTATTTCATTTTGATTTTTTCTTGTCTTTCTGAATCTGTATTTTGTATTATTACTTGTTCTGCTTTTTATTTTATATTGGTATTAAAGTTCAATGTTTGAAAAGAAATGTTTCTTCCTTTTTTTGACGTAAATATACATGGGTCAAAACTTACCCTTAACACTATAAATGTTACTATGGTTAATAATATTAAAATAACAAAATAATAAGACAAATTTATTTTAGAGATGTGTTCTAATACTTCTTAAAAAAAACCTGTTTTGAGGGAATTTTTTGGCTGATTGAAGACGGGTCACAACTGACCCGTTCACATCATAAGTGCGTGCGGGATCTTGCCCCGCTAGGAAGGTTAAGGTTCGTTATTGTGATACTTTCTTTCTTGCATAACTCATCACTCGTAAGACATTTGTGAAAAAACACGTTCTGAGAACATGGTTCACTTCCTTGTTAAACTCTTGACATTATAAAACAATGCAGAGTACACTTTTAAAATCATAAAAGATTACATCGTCAACTACATTAACTTTACTTGAGTCCCTTGTAATAAACAAATCATATTTCTATATTTAAAATATAACAGGTTCAGCTAAGGGAAATGTTTTCCATCCTTCACTTTTTTCTTCTCTCCCCATTCCTCCCGCTTGCGTGTATGTGCTTGAGTGTGTACGTGCATGTGTGTGTTTGTGTAGTGTGAGAGTGTGTGAGTGTGTGTGTGTGTCTAAGTATAACCGCCTGCATTTGTATGTGTGCGTGTGTGTGCTCGAGTGTGTATGTACATGTGTGTATGTGTGCGTGTGTCTTTCTCCAGCATCTGTTTCCCATTATCCAGGCCTGGAAACTTCAGTACTTTCTATTGCAGGCCTGGAACAAGAGCATGCCCGGACATGTCTGGGGGCAGACTGATTCCACTGTAGTGGGCCTTATTGACACTGTAAACTGCATTAATGAACTGGACTCTTGTTTTCATCCTGGAATCTGGTCCCATGTTGTCCATCTGGCTAGTTCAGGCTGTCACTCATTTGATTAATGCAACTTAAAACATTAAATGGATTGAATAAAAGAACTGAGGGGAATTTTAAATAAATAGTTCATCCAACATCTCTCTCTCTTCCACGTCCTCCTGCACTGCACCTGGGCCGAGCCTCGTTCTGGTCCGCCTGGTGGAAGGACAACTTCTTCTTCTTTCGGGAAACAATAAAAACTCAGTTGGTTGTTTTGTAATCAAAGCAAACACAAGCAAACATTATTAAGAATGTTTGATTTACCTGCAGTAAATCAGCTACTGATTATCACAGAGTAAAGTCCAACATCATCGACTCGGTTCTGGTCCACTCAGCGCCCAGTGTGGAGCTGTTAGACGAAGCGGTCCCGCTTGGCGTCAAATCTGTTGACTCATCCAAAATCCAGCCAAAGTCTATCTTTAACTTTTTGTTAAGTTGTTGTTAGCTGAATTTTTAGCCCAGAGGAAGGGAGCGTGCCGAGGCAGCACACATGCGCATTAGGTGAAGGTACAAAATTCACAGCGCCATCTAATGACCCGGCATGGTAACTACAGCAGGTTCGGGAGGGCGGGGGGGGGGGGATTCCTGCAGATGCATGTAAACACAAAATCCGACCGTGTCAATGCTAATCTTTTCCTCTAATTAACATACGAAAAAACCTACGTTTCCCTCCATCTTGTCCGTGTAAATAGGGCCTAAGCAACTGATTGGATTCATTGAGTTTTATGAACAAATATAATTGTGTGTTATCAGCATAACAATGAAAATGTATCCCATGCTGTTTAATAACATTACCTGACTGACAGCTGACAGTTGACTCTGACATCTTCACAGATGATGATCTTAAAAAAAGCTAATGAGCTCAACAACTTTTTTTTATGAGGTTTGAAACACAAGATCCTATTCCAGAGTGTGACAAAGTACTACAGGCCATTAATTTAGCTGATTCCTGTTCAAGGCTGATAATTAATCCCTTCAAAATCCAGTCACTTTTCAGTAGGGTTAGCAAAAATAAATCTACTGGTCCTGATGACATTCCTGCTTTTCTCTTAAAAAACTGTGCTGAAGAGCTCACTCCAGTCTGGTGCCCTATTTTTCAGCAATCACTTGACCAACATATGGTTCCTTCTTTTTTGGAAAAGGTCAATTATCATTCCAGTCCCCAAGAAATCAAGTCCATCTGATAATAATGACTACAGACCAGTGGCACTATCAGTAGTAATGAAATGTTTTGAGAAATACGTTGTGTCCCTTTTGAAATCAGAGATAAATCCTGATCTTGATCCTTCCCAGTTCACTTATAGACAGGGATGGGGCCATTAATGGCATCACACATCTAACTCAAACATCTTGAAAACCCAAAGGCCTATGCCCGTCTTCTCTTTATAGATTTTAGTTCAGCTTTTAATACCCTACAGCCTCACCTGCTCATTAAGAAATTACAACAGATGAATCTTAATTCTCTTCTTATTAAATGGTTTTATTCTTTTTTAACAAACAGATCACAGCTTATCTGAGTCAATAACACCTGATCAGAGCCAAGGTCCATCAGTACTGGGGTTCCCCAGGGTTGTATTACCTCTCCTGTCTTTTTCACCATTTACACAAATGATTGCATCAGCAGCTGCCCCGGGAATTATGTTTTTAAATCCTCTGACGATACTGCTATTCTCAGCTTGCTGCATGAGGGTATGGATTCCTCATCACATTTTAATGAGGTTCAGTCTTTTGTTCAATGGTGTAATGACCACCACCTTGTTATTAATGGCAAGAAAACAGAAGAGATGCTGATTGACCCCAGGTCTCTGAGTGTGTTGTATAATGTAATCTTTTTTGCTATGCTCTGACACAAAATATTTCTCTGTGTATGGTGAAAAACTGCAGGGTCATGATGTGCGTCATGTGGGCCCATGATGTGCGTAACTCCTTGTACAAGGGGACCAGAGACTTGTTATCTTGCCCAGAACAGATCACGTTCAGCTGGGGGCAGTGGGCGAAAAAAACAAGACCATGCCAGACCACGCCCAGTTGTACCGACTCACTCAGAACAACATCATGATAAGGACATCCCAATGTAACTGATAAGGCTGTATTTAAATGAAGCAAAGACATTTTGTAACTTAGACGTGTAAAATGGATGTAACGTGCATGTGAGGCGTCTCCCTTCCAGCGCTGTGAAGGTAAAATAAATCTTTGTCTGAATTCAGAACCACTTCTCAGGCTGTGTTTTTGACTCTGTCTTCTTTCCACTGAACGATCTCAGGTTGAGGCAGTTTTGAGCTAAGTGTTTGAAAGTTGGTTCTCATAGTTTTAAAGACCTCAACAATTTGGTGGAGGATGCAGGCAGATGTGAATGAAGACAGGAGTAATTGTTAAATGTGAATTGAATCCAGGTAGACAGACTCTGTGCACCTGCACTAGCCGGCTAAAAACAAGAGGAATTTTCCTCACAGTGTGGATGTGCAGCGTCAGTTTATCTGCTAAAATTAACAGCCTTGATTGTGGTGATTTGGTTGTTTTAAGAAGTTGATATTGCTTAAAAAGAGAGAAATAGTTTGTGTGAGTCAGCAGACAGATCTGGGATCTGGAGTTGGGATAATGGCATACCTCACTTTCTACCGGACGCGGGGAGAGGTGATTGATAGGTTTTTACTGAGTTTCCCCCGTGACGTGACTCATCACAAATGAAACAAGAAGGCTGACTACACTGAGAAATAATAAGAGAAAGCACTGAGTCCCTCAGAGACCCATACATGGTGATGAGAGGACTAAAGATTGAAACAACGTTGTCCCTTATATTAAGAGGTAATTTACACTAGTGACCGTGTTATTTGTCTATTCTGGTCTCTGTTTGTCAGTTGGTGGTGTAGTGAACTAAGCCTCCGGTCAAAACCTGACCCTGAAGACCTTCATGGGACAGAAACTGTTATTTCATTGATTTGAATCCAGAAATACAAATTAGAACATCCAGAGACTTTCTAATTGTGTCCTGCACTAATCAATTGAAAGAACACTCTCTTTTTATATTGTCATTACTATTTTTACAAATGTCTTGATAATCAAAAGGTGTTTAGTTCAAACCATTTTAAATGTTGAAGTGAACTACTCATTTTAAATCAACTGTGAAACAGTATTAATGATTTTTTAATCCTCATTCAAAGTAGAAATCATTTTAAATGTCTATGTTACAAAGTAATTATGCATTTTGATCTTCTCTCTGAAATGAGAAGTAGTGATGTCGGTCGAAAGTCAGAAAGAAGTTATTGGAACGAACTGTCATGTTTTTAAACCTCTCAGACAGAAACAAGAAAGCTGGCACCTAAAGGTCTGTCATTTCTCCAAAACATTTCTCTGTCTGTTCCTAAACATTTCTCTGTCTGTTCCCAAACATCTCACTGTTTTTCTGACTTGTAGTAACCCTCTTACGTCACTAAAACCACACCCCTGTTGGTTCTTTCAACCAATCAGGACTTCCCAAAAGGGACCGGAAACAGAACTCTTTAAAAGTCGACACTTCCTAGTTCCAGTAGTTCTGGGAGCACAGGAGAACAGAAGTTCTGGGAGACATGAACCGAAGTTCCGAGAGAGAACAGAAGTTCTGAGTTCCTCTGAGTCTTCTCAGAGTCCCGTTCGTTCTTCTGGTACTGATGGAGTTCGGCTGGAGTTCCTGTAGGAGCCACGATGCCTCGCTGTGGCTCCACCCGGTGAAAGCCTTATAACTTCTGAGGAAGTTTGTTCTGTGGACCGAGTTCTCACGACTTCTGCCGAGTCGCAGCCGCCCTGAGGAGACGCTGAAAGGTA